TTGAAGGCTGCAAAATGCTATCGTCTAAGCTCAACAGAACTACTGTAGTCTTGAACTCACAACCAGAGTCATCTTCACTGGGTCCACATTAGACTGGCCAGGTCAACAACTGAAGGAAGAGAGGCTCCTGGGACCCCACCCCTACTGTTGAACACTGATAGAGTCTGGGGAAGGAGGAGCTATTTCAGTTGTGTGCCCCCTGCCAAGCCCGCCAGGCTCCAAACAAAATGAGAAAATATAAATGTGAGAAAGAGATATACAAGGAAAAATCCGGGGTAGATAAGGTAATAATAGAGAGAGAAAGAGTAGTCAGCATGCATTATGTACATGTGTGAAAGGTCAAAGAACATATTTAATTAATACAAAAATGAAAAAAAAAAAACCATGATAATTTGAAACAACATATACTCTCAGTTAAAATATGTTGTCATATGTTGCACACTTCGTAATTTCCAAGCAGCCAAATACTTCATCCTGAGGTAATTTCACTTTTGTGAATAGACTACACTAAAGGACCTGTATCTAAATCTTGGTATTTCATCCTTTCCACAGACTTCCACAACCAAACAAGGTGCAAACAAATGCTTAAGAAAACCGAAATGCCCTATTTACATAGCTACTTACTCTCCATAGAAAATGAGGTTGTACCACGGAAGCCAAACACCTCCCATGTTTCTCTGGGCTGCACAGCTGACAGGACTGAAGACATTTACAGATCATGCAGCTGAGGGAAGGAAGAACAGACTCAACAGACCTCAGCCCTGGCAGTGGAACGTATTAGGCCTTTCGTAGAGCTTTCCGCAAATCACCATAGAAGTTGGTTAAAGTGCTGGCCATTGCTGTATCCACTGCGGACTGAGGGATCATGCCGCGCAGATCTGTCTGAATATAGCCCGTCAGAAGACTCTGGCTTGGACTGTCTTTAAGCGGAACACAAAACCAGCCGCAGGGATGGTTATAGCCTCGGACAAATTCTGGCCTTGTTTCACTCCAGTCGAGACTCACCCCACAGGATAAAAGTCCTTCTTCATAGCCCACAGTATAGGAGAAATCAACAAACTCTCTCGGGGAAATAATATTCAAAAGTTGACCAGCAGTGGTGTAACGCATCACACAGCAATTCTAGAAAGACAAAAGGTAAGACTGGTGTCGCCATCAGACATGCAGAGTCACGTGCCAAGATCAATCTCTAGTAAGAAGTGCCACTCACTCAAAATGTTTTGGTCTAAGAATAGCAATTCCTACAGTGGTTCCGAAAGGGATAATCTCTTTTCTAAATGTCAGTGCTATGGTAGGAACGTGATGATGATATATAAAAATACAGAGACATAGTCAGTATCTAAATCTCTATTTAATTAGAGATGGCTAATTCAATTAATGTAGCCAATTATATGGGCCTAGTACATATATAGAATGAAGGAGTACAAACTGTTTCTGAACTTTGAAGATTAAAAAAACCCACAAACACATGATGTTTTGACTTAAAAAAAATCAAGTATGGTAAGAAGTAAGTAAGAACAGGTAACAAGCCCCTTTGACTGGACAGTTGTCTAGTACTTAAGGCAACATTTTTAGTCTGGTCTTTGACTTTAATTTAATATAATTGGAAAATCCACATTTAACCTCTACAAGGGAGGTATTTTTTCTGTCTTTGAGATTTTAGACCCTTAACCAAAATTTTACAGTTAAAGATGCTGAAGACTTCCATAAGCAACACAGACAGAGGTACACTGCGAACTCAGTACTAACCTTCATTATAAAATTAGGAAACTCAACTTTAAACTCAGCACTAGGGAGATAGGGGCAGATGGATCTGAGTTTGAGGCTAGCACTCTACATAGCAAGTTTTAGGCCAGTGAGGGTTAAGTTATACAGTGAGACCCTGTATCCAAAAAAAAAAAAAAAAAAATGAAATGAACAAATAAATAAAATAAAATGGAGAAACTTGAGCTTTTAAAAGGCAGCACAGGGTTATCCTGTGGGATCTTTGCTTGACTACTATTCGCAAAGAAACAAATGCAATCAATGCAAGCACATACAAATGTGGACACTCACACGGGTGGGGTCTCTGTTTCTCTCTCTCTCTCTCTCTCTCTCTCTCTCTCTCTCTCTCTCTCTCTCACACACACACACACACACACACACACCCTCTGTAGTAGTTTTCTTACACAGATACCTCTTCCAAGTGCTCCAAAATATCCAGTGAAGTCATTAACGGATCCCAAAACAAGCGGCTGGGCCCTGGGCGTATGTGGTCTATTACATTACTGACAATGTCATCCATAACACCTTGGGCTTTGTACCTGAAGAACAAAAAAAAAAAAAGAAAGAAAGAAAGGCTTTCCAAATGAAAATTTACAGTGCAGAGCTAACATTGAAAACAGGAGGAAAACTTAATGGCCGTTTTTTTTTTTTATAAAGGAAAAATATCCTAACAACTTGTCTAATAAATAAAAGGTCTATCAATTATTTTATCAAACTATGTCCCTTGTCCTCAAATTAGAAAATAGAAAACTGAAGGTTATAGTACATCATCATAAACACAGTGACGTCCCTTGACATTATAATATAGCCCCAGTCTATAGCACATTCCAAAACGTCCATGCAATTGTTCTCTCCTTAGTTATTCTCAAACATTAGTACATGTATATTTTTACCATGACTTTTTTTCCTTCTGCCTCCCCCCCAACACTCTCCTGTGTATAGCTCATTGCTCTTTCAAATTCATTAACTGTTGTTATACACACACACACACACACACACACACAAAATGTATGTATTCCTAAATACACCCTGCTCAGTCTGCACATTACTTTCGTATGTTTTTCAGGACTGACTACTGGCACTGGGTAACAGCTGACATGCTCTTCCCTGGGGAGACTATGTCCCCCACTCTCTGCACTCCTTAGCTGCCTGGAGGTCTTTGTGCAGGGTTGGGGCCTCCTGGGCTTCCCCCATCCACTCTGGCAGGCTGTTGTTCTTGCTCAGCTCACGGTTAGGGATGCAGCGACAAAACAAATCTACACCTAAGGCTCAAAGAACATTATAGAAGGGGAGGAAAGCCTGGACGAGCCAGGGAGGACCCGGGAGTGTGCTGTGACACTATGTCTCCTTGTAATGTCAGAAACTACACCCCAACACCCATACATGACTACACTGGCTTTTAAGAACTTTCTGGTCATAGGTTTGGAAAAGATATGTATAATACATAATACATATAAATGGGCTACAAGTTATTACTGAAGCTATATATGCACAATTCCTTTAAAGTTAATGAAAATGATAATCCAACAGAAGATGGACGAAGCACATATTATGATAATCGGAAATGTCAAATACTGTAATCAAATACACACTAGCAAGATACCATTTCAATCACCCCTCAGAATGCCAAATAGTAAGTAAACTTAAGAGATCTCTGAATATTAATCTGAGAATGGCCACAGGTATTTCCCTAGAAAGCTGCACACTGTCACACATTTGTATACAACCTAGAGGAGCTCAAGCAGCTACTCACAAACCCGGTAAAGCCCCTTTCTTAAATTCTCATTTAATCACTCCCATCTTCTGTATTCCAGTAAATTCAAACCTTGTGAGGACCTGGAGAGGAAGTACGGAAGTTGGCAGAGGGCAAGCAATCCTGCATCCTTTGTACAGAACTGAGGCACCCTTCAGAAGTATGGTTCCTCACCCTCAAGCTGGACGCTCCAGCTGTGTGGTACAACTTCTTCCCTAAATCAATTTCTCATCCCTATTTAAGGAGCAGAGACAATTCTTTTGTCTAGAATATGAATTAGCCCTTCATTTCTTAAGAAACATCTGAGCAGGGGTGGAAGGGAGTGGCGCATGCCTTTAATCCCAGCACTCGGGAGGCAGAGCCAGGCGGATCTCTGTGAGTTCGAGGCCAGCCTGGTCTACAAAGCAAGTCCCAGGAAAGACTCCAAAGCTACACAGAGAAACCCTGTCTCGAAAAACCAAACAAAAAGACAGGAACATCTCTTCTTCTCTAAGTCTCAGCGACACTTACTGCTCCCTTATCTCTTTCTATGCTTTCAATCCCAGCTGGGAACAACTGATCTAAAGGATGAATTCCCAGATTCTTACAATGCTTGACCCCACTGCATTCCCCTTGTCCATGTCAAAGATACTGTACACCTCACCTTTCTGGAAACAGTATCTTTGGTACAGCACTTCAGAACATCTGAATATACTAAGTGGGGACAGAGGCTCCATTTTTAAAAAGGGCTAAGCCTTAAGGATTGAACAGTCTACTTAAATTGTATAAGGCAACTGTCCATTATGACTTAAAAAAAAAAAACCAAAAAAAAAAAAACAGTATCCTTTTCTTGTTCAACTATAAGACTAAAACGAAGAAACAAAAGTTATTCATAATACTACCATTTAGAGATGAATTTTGTCTTAGGCAAAACATTTTAATAAAAATACATACTTAAAATAAGCCAATGGAGCCGGGCGGTGGTGGCGCACGCCTTTAATCCCAGCACTCGGGAGGCAGAGGCAGGCGGATCTCTGTGAGTTCGAGGCCAGCCTGGGCTACCAAGTGAGTCCCAGGAAAGGCGCAAAGCTACACAGAGAAACCCTGTCTCGAAAAACCAAAAAAATAAAATAAAAATAAAAATAAAAATAAAATAAAATAAGTCAATGGTTGTGCTGAGGATTCAACTCTATTTTGTATCATAGTGTGAGCACTTTTTATATCATGAAGTAATCTTTTAAAACACAATTTTTAAAGGTTACCAACATTCTACCAAGTATAGATATTTTCATAATTTACTATCAAGATGCCTAGTTCTTAATATTCATAACTCCACAATAAAACATCTAATACCTAAATCACTATGATTGTACTGCTGGGGTCTTCCAGGTGAACTTTTTAACAGAATGCTAGCTGGGTATAGGAATTCATGCAGTTAGGAAACTGAAGTAGGAAGTGCCGCGTGAGTATGAGACTGAACTACATGGTGAGTTCAAGGCCGCCCTGTCTCAAAAGTCATTTCAAAAGTTCTATAACTCCCAGCAATGTAGACTATTAGAAGGATCATGTATGCCATGCTAAGTTCAGATTTTTATTTGCCTACTGCTATTATTTATGACCAACACAATCCACAAAATATTTGACCATTTTTAAGGCTTTGAATTTATATGAGCAATTTGCTTCTCAGAAAGTTTAAAACAATAAAAATAAAAGCTAAAATCTACTGTGATCATGTAATATAATGTATGAGTTATAAAGCTGAGAATTTAGGGCTGGAGAGATGGCTCAGAGGTTAAGAGCACCGGCTGCTCTTCCAGAGGTCCTGAGTTCAATTCCCAGCACCCACATGGTGGCTCACAACCATCTGTAATGAGATCTGGCGCCCTCTTCTGTATACATAATAAATAAACAAATCTTTTAAAAAAAAACAAAACCGAGAATTTACTTACAGATACCCATTAAACTCTTCTGAGGGTTTTCTCCAAACTGTGACATCTTTCTAGAAAAATAAAAACATTCTATGGTGATAATCACATAGTTGGAACCTTACACACAAAATTAATTCTCTAAGTTTAGAGCACTTAACTTTGCTTTAAAAAACAACTTAAGTAATTTCTCAGAGCGAAAGAGAAATCTGTATTTGAATTTCTTCTGTACCACACTGTACTTATTATTATGCACCTTAAAGCTTAGAAATTCAGACTTTCAAATTCAATGGCAGTACTATATTAGTGGCTATTATTATTTGCTTCATTTCGATTTTAGCTATTTACTATTACTGATACATTCATTCTATGACATTAGGAACATTAAATACTTCATTCTCAAACTGTACATGCCTTTTTAAAATTAAATAATTCACATTTATTGTGACTGTGTTACCTTGAATTAGTTCCTACATGTCGCCCTCATCATTTCCCAACTGACTCTAAACAGAAAACTAACTAGAGAACTAGAGAAGAGCCTGGCGTCTAGGCTTGGCTCTAACACTCTGCCACACAAGAGTATGGCTAAATTATGTGGTAAAGAGGAATACTAACCGGCCACTCACAAACTCTTGACATCTGACATGAGTACAAACTTTCAATGACCATCCTTCCTTAAACTCTTTTATCAAGTCCACAAGTAAAGACCTAATGAGTTCCTTCCTTGGTAAGATGACCCTCCATCCTATCAGAAGAATTACTGACTGTATATCCATTCAACACATTATTTCTCATCCATATTTTTCCTAATATTTTAAAAGTCATCAGACAATTTGTTGGCCATTGTGGTGGCCCACAGAGGCTACCCAGTGAGACCTTATATATAAGTCAGAGAATCTGAGCTTGCTTTACCCAGCAGTGCAGCATAAAGGTGTGATTTGACCACAGGCGTGGTTACCAGGTGTTCTGACAGGTCTACACTATGGTTTGCTTTGATCTTGCAAGGGGGAGGTCTTTTGCCTCTCCCCTTGGCAAAAGAAAAAGCCCTTTTGAATAAAGGCCTGGGGTGGCTGGGTATTGACCTAGGACCCTCCCAAAATTATCCTGTGTTTCTGTCTTTCTTATCGTCTCTTTCTATCTTTCTACCTAGTATTTCCTCATTCCTCTCTCCTCCACCCAAGAACCCTTCGATAGGTGGGAGCAGATAGGAGCTGGACTCCCAGACTCCCACACGCCATACACTAAATTACCCAAGCAGTAATGGATGGTGGCGCACGCCTTTAATCCCAGCACTTGGGAGGCAGAGGCAGGTGGATCTCTGTGAGTTCAAGGCCAGCCTGGTCTACAGAGTGAGTTCCAGGACAAGCACCAAAACTACACAAAGAAACCCTGTCTCAAAAAAACAAAACAAAACAAAAACCCAGTTATTACGTGTATTTACCATTTTCTTGGCCACTCGCCATTTATCTTCTTCAATGTTATGATACTGGATCAGAGTGTTTTGAAGTTTAGTTGAAAAAGAGGCAACATCAGATAGGCCTTCCATTTTGATCTTCCTGTTATAGAAACCAAGATTAGCATCAGCAAATTACTTAAGTCAAATCTATACTCAGAATAAATGCTCCTGGGGGAGCTATAAAAGACAGCTGCACCTGCACCCACACCCCACTGCCAAGGAACTAATCAGAAACCCTGAGACTAGGAGCTGGGGAGAAAATTTTCCTAAAAGCTTGAGATGAATAATCCATAGCCACAGATAATAAGCAGACTCTTTGTTATTAGAATCACTGATATAAAATAATAAAAAGAGACAGATGCAAGAAGAGGGAGGAGGTGGCTCACTTATCGATCGGCTGTTAATGCTCAAGTATTCCTCTAATTCTCAGCTCTCCAGGGTGTTCCAAAGTCCATATCCAGAAGCCTCCTTAGAACTTTGCTCCAAAGGAGCATCTTTACGTGCCCAGCATTATTTTAGCCATTTATTATTAAAATGATATTGAGCCCAGATTCTCAAGCCAAAAGGCTGGGAATCACCCTTAGTGACTAGTAAAGATTCCTACTCACACCACCATTCCCCATTGCCTAGTGTTCTATTTCCTAGGGTTTTATGTTCCTCAATCTAAGCCTGTCAAGACTTTAGATCTTTGGCCTTGGGATTTCTCTGCCTGGACTGCAAGATTCCAAATCTTAGCATGACGAACAACTTGTAGTACCAAGTGCTGTTAAAATTCCTGTCCTTAACACAGACTTCTGAAAGTTACTGCTCTATCTCTCTTTATTCCTCAGAGTGCTTGGCAGTATCTGAAGCTCATTTATTTATTGGCATATAATTCTTCTCTTTAACCACCTCACCTAACTAACAGAAGAAAGGTCTCTGTCATAATCACCACTGTCTAGCTCTCACCTAGAACACTGTGGCTTTTAATATCACTGTTGACATTTTCTCCCTATACACAAGATCTGATAACCTTTATCATCTTTGGATGCCAAGATACCAATTCTTGGCATAACTCCTATATCATTCCTACTCTTTCCATTCCTGTAAAAGGTTAACAGAGAAAAGCTGCCTATTATACAACCATCAAATTACTAAAAAACAAATTCAGGAAAATCTTCATTAATAATTCGGTCTTCCAACCAGAGCTCAGTACTATTGATCTGAAAACTAAAGGTTTTGGAAATAAATCAAAGCTGTAGTCAGTATTTAAATATCACAATGTAGAGTATAGAAACCTCCAATACTAAAATTAAGTAGAAAGATGAGAAAGTGTATATGGAAAATTCAATAACCTTGAGATCCATAAAAGCGATGTAAAATTTCTAAGTACAGACCACACCCATCCATGGAAAGTGGATGAGCTCATTCCAAAAGTCTACCAGTCAAGAATATAAACGGCCACTTAAGAATGTGCCAACTTAACCTTATTCAAGGGTGTGGTACAAACAAGTGCAAATTCTTGGAGAGCTTATAAAAGAAATGTATCCAGTATTGGATCATTTCGATTAGGTCACATTCTGTAAACCCAGAGGTCTCCTGCTAGCTTCCTGTGGGTGGCAGATAAGAACTCTTTATTTTTTCAAAATTATTTGATAGAAATCAAATGAAATAGAAAGCCACTGTTATCATAACCAAACATTAACTTTGTTGTAAGCAGTACAGGTGACCTATAAAGATGAGAATCTAGAACTTTCAGACATTTATTTTGGCAATTATTCACATCTACTCACCAGTGCAATTTCAAGTCTTTTGGTGTTGCTTATATGTAGCTAAGCTTCACTGAGTAATTTCTATTCTTCCTCCCCACCCCCATCCCACCCCCTGCCCCCCAGACAGGGTTTCTCTGTGTAGCTTTGGAGTCCGTCCTGGAATTCGCTTTGTAGATCAGGCTGGCCTTGAACTCACGTAGATCTGCCTGGCTCAGCTTCCTAAGTGCTGGGATTAAAGGCGTGCACCACCACCGCCCGGCTTCTATTCTTTTTTGATGGCCTGCCTTAAAAACTGGGTTAGCTCCCCCTCCACTGTTTTCTCACAATCCATACTGTAACTACTCAATTATATTCTACCATTTAGCTATACAACCTTTTGGGCTATAAAATACAGCTGTTCAGGGTTGTGCTCTTTCTGACTAGCATGATGTAAAAACCCAATAAATCAAGTATGCATTGCCATTTACACCGGCCATCTATGAACTTCTGAACAAAGAGAATCTCCATTACCATGGGGCACGCCTTTAATCCCAGCACTCGGGAGACAGAGGCAGGCGGATCTCTGTGAGTTTGAGTCCAGCCTGGTCTACTGAGAGATATCCAGGACAGGCACCAAAACTACACAGAGAAACCCTGTCTCAAAAAAACAAAAAAAGAATGAACAGCTTCTCAAGGAGGTCCACGACTAAGTATTTACCAGTATCCAGTTCTAAAATGATGGAAATAGAACCCAGCTTTTCTCTTAAACTTGACTTATTCTGTCCTTTAAACAAATCTCCCCAGCAACAAAGAAGCTAAAACTCTAGAACCCGATTAATAGTCTCTTTAACGATGCGGAAGAAGGAAGGAAGCAGAGACTGAAGTTCCTGAATAACATCAAAAGTTATTTTTAAATCATTGAAGTGTTTCACTCAGCAGTTAATTCCTGCACGGAAGTCCAGAATAAATAATGGTAACTGTCTAGGTTGCAGTGTGTGTTTGAGCAACTCTCTAAACATAGTCTAGAATCAAGAGAGGTAGTACTGGAGCTGGCAAGGTTTTGGCTCTCTCCTGATAAAAGTGAGGGCTTGGACTAATTGAAAATATAGCACACAGCCTGGCAATGATGGCACACGCCTTTAATCCCAGCACTCGGGAGGCAGAAGCAAGCGGATCTCTGTGAGTTTGAGGCCAGCTTGGTCTACAGAGTGAGTTCCAGGAAAGGTGCAAAGTTACAGAGAAACCCTGTCTTGAAAAACCAAAAAGAAAAAAAAAAGAAAAGAAAAAGAAAATATAGCACACAGTATACCCTCCTGAGATTTGCAGCCCTGGAAATGGTTTTAAATACCACTCCGAATTTCCTCTTACTAACTCAATCTTTTATTCTCTTGACCTTATATCAGAAATTTCTCCAACCACAACAAATATCGAAGATAAGAGGCACCACCTAACTAAACAAACTTTAACAACTCCATACAAAAGGTCAAAATCCTGTCAGTCCTCAGACCAAGTTTAAATCAATGTCCACTTTTTATCTTTTTTTAAGTTAACCTTTATGTTTATGTTTCCTCCATAGCTACTTGTTATTTTGTAGTTTAATACATTTATTAAAGATTTTCTGGCTTCAGAACCTTTAATCTTCCATTATTCAATTAATATAGTTTTTATGTGCATCATGTCAATCTAACAAGCCACAGAGTTTCTTCAACAAGACAGAAAACGAAGGCCTTATCAAATGATACATTCTAACATAAACATGTTAACAAATGCTCGGTCTCCAATCTATCTTGAACCATTAATTTAACTTTTCTAACTTGAGTCGAGTACAGTAGCTTTCCATTTTTGAGACTGGCCCTTGCTCAATATCGGGGTATGAGGCATGAAAGCATACTTCTGCAGTGCTCACCGTGACACACTGCCTGACCACGTTAACAATCTTTCCAGTGTGCAATATTTACATTCTAATGATACCACAGCCTTCGTTTTGAATCCAACTTAGTGCTCAAGTCTTTAATGCTCTTAATCCTTTGGCGGAATAGTTTTTAAAGTAGGAACGTCCTATTACGAGGTTAGTCTTTCTGATAGTATTACACTGTGCAAGAGCTCATCCTGGCATTATCACTACTTTACAGAAAGGGGATGCTGCAGCGGGAAAGTTAAATTGGTTCTTCCAGATTCCAAAGACAAATAAGTAAGGGAACAAAAGTTCCAAGCCAGGCTCTTTGATCAGAGTTCACAGGTCAGTCTGGGAAAAAAACAAAACAAAACAAAACAAAAAAAAAAAAAAACGCTGAAAGCTGATCCGCAGACTCTCACCAACTTTATTTACATAAAAACCTGACCCCACAATGTACTGAACTGTTTTCCTAGCTCCCGAACCCCCAAACCTCCAATAACCTTCCCTAGGTGGAGAGGAAGGAAATCCGCAGCAGTAACTTCCACGAGCTACAACGTGGACTTGCAAGTTCCTGAGCACTGGGGAAGTAAGCGTCTCTTGTGAACCCCGTCTGCATAGAAATAAGAGGAAATGGCTCTTGCACCTCTTCCGGGGACCACGGAAGAGTCTCCACGGAGCACGCCCTCAGGACTTCTCCCACAGCCCCGCCGTCACCACGGAACAGCTGGGGAAACTGAGGCCTACTCCGCTCGCGGCCCTTGGGCGGCAGCGGCTCTCGTCCCGCTCCGGGTGTCACCCGCACCCAGGGACAGACATCCCTCTCCCTTCTGCGGGGAGCAGTTCCAGGAGACTCTCGCTCCCGCCGGTCCGCCCGCCTTCTCTCCCCTCCCTCCAGCCCGTTTACCTGAGGATGCCAGGCAGCCCCGAGGTCCAGGAAAACCGGGCTCGCAGCTCCGGGAACCCCGCGCTTCAACCAGCTGTTTTCCAATCCGCCCAGGCGCGGCTGGGTGCAGCCAATGGGCGCGGGGTGCCTTCGGACCACAGCCAATCAGAAGGCAGCAGGCTGCTCGGGTCAAGGCGGGGCCGCGCCCGCAGCCCCGCCCCGCGCGGACCCTCGGGGACCTCCGGGGAGTGTGAGCGGGAGCAACGTGTGCTCGCTGGGATTGGCTGGCGCCTCGGCGTCAGGGGTCCCGATTGGCCGCCGAGGATGGACCGATGCCGCGTGGGTCTTGGGCTGGCCCGAGCCGAGCTGAGTTCCCTGCGTGTTTGGTTTGCCTGTGGGCTTGGATCAGAGCCGGTGTGCCAGGGCCAATTGGTTGGGAAAGGTTCGTGCGAGGCTGCGGGGAGATAATAACAAATGTGGAAGGATGGTGAGGGTCACGGGCCGCTAGTGTCCATTGTGAAGATCCCAACTAGGGCACTGCCCTTGGCAGGCTGCAAAGTCTGGTGAGAAAAGTCTGAACTCTGAAGATCAGGTTGTTTGCAAATGGCATTTACTAAGATACAAGCTTGAGAACGGAGAGCAGCAAGGGCTGCAGTCATTGTTTTTGACAGACCTGCAGTAAGAATAAATAATACCGCGTACAATTTTAAATTAGCCTTGCTAAGGTATCACTGAACAGCACTGGCTGTACAGCTGTACAGCTGTACTCATGCTGTACAGCTCATCGAATCCATTGAATTCCTTAAGATAGGGTTGGGTTTTTTATTATTATTTTTAAAGTTTACAGGGTTTTTTTGTTGTTGTTGTTGTTATTTTGTTTTATGTGTGTGGTTGATTTTCCTGCGTGTATGTCTGTGCCCTACGTGTGTGGTGCATGTAGTGCTCACGGAGGCGAAGCCAGGTGGCCAGAAGAGGGTGTCAGATCCCCTGGGACTGGAGTTACAGACCCTTGTGAGCTGCCCTGTGAGTGCTGGGACTCCAACCCCTATCCTCTGGAAGAGCAAGTGCTCTTAACCCCTGAGCCACCTCTCCAGCCCCAAGATGGGTACACAAGACTGATGGGAAGCCCCTCGTATAGATCTTAAAACACTTAGTTACTGAGTGGCTCAAGTAGAATTTTATCATCTTCTGATTTCTGAGACTGAGGCTCTGTATCTCCACAAAACTTGTCCTGTGTTTCCTTGTTCTTTATCAGACAGCTGGGTACCACAGCTGGACAAGACACACGAAAGACCCAACCCTGGAGAGTCATGTGATCTGACAGCAAAGAATCATTCTTAGAATTTAAGACAGGAAAGGCCCCTCAGCAGCTCTGTGTATTCTTTCAGAGGTGCCTGGAAAATACGCCAAAGCAATCTTGACTCTGACTTTGCAGGAGAGCTGCATGGGGCCCTAGGAGCACATGTACACACTTGTGATTTCTTCTCTCTGGTGCAGGAGGCTTTGGTTTCTTGTCTGTTTGGTCTTCGTCTTTTGCCCTGTGGTTTCTTAGCTAGAATGACATGATGGTAATTGTAAACCATCGTCTCTATCCCAGTGGAATGCCACTAAAACAAGACCTCAAGTTCAGAAAAAAAGAAACCATTATCTGGCCCTGTTATGTAAGGGTTTTCTATGCTCTATGCACAACGTTAAACGTTTTTCATGTGTTAACCCATTTAATCCTAATGTAATATCTGATAGTAGACATGTACTATTTATTACCACTGTCCTGACACATATGGAGGGATTGCGGTGAACAGGGCAACAGATAGGAATACCTTTCAAATAGTTTGAAAAATGAGAAAATAAAGTTTCCATCTAGTGTTAAAATATAAAAGAGACATATATAAGAGATTTGAACAGTTCTGTGGAAAGCTATCCTAAAGGAAAAAAACCATTTCCCTGACAAGCTCAGTCATCTCATTTAATACATGAACATATCTAGAGAAAGGCAGAACACATTTCTCAAACAAACAATATACCAACAGTTTCTCAACTATAGGCAATAAATCTAGAAATAGAATAAAATGACACATAAAAATATCCCCAGCTCCCTGAAATTTAAAAAAAAACAAAATGTTCCCTAAACTCTGTGATCCTCCCCAGAAACGATGCATATGAACGACCACAAAGACCAGCATGCCAAGTTGCCCCAAAGGTGCAGTAGTGGCGCCCACATTTTGGCAGTAACCAGCAGTAATGTAATTAGACTCAGGCCTCTTCACAGAAGGGACAACAGGCCTGGTACTGTAAATCTAATCAACTACGTAGAGCGAGTCATATCCACGCATAGCTGTGGATCTTAGAGGAGCTGCTTCCTTCGATATCCTGAGCCAGTATAATTCCTCACTGCATCCTAAATACTTAACCTTTGAACCCACAGGTAAGTGCATATCTCACCCCGTCACCAAAGAATGCCCCCCCACCCCCCACCCCCACCCCCCGCGCCTCTCTCAGCACATCATTACAGAAAGTTCTGCAAGTCAAAGCAGTGAACAGCTGCCTGGGGTTTCCAGATCCAGTTGATGACATCCACGACACAACTCCAGCACCATGACTCAGGAACTTCCTGGAAGAGTGAGTAGAAAGATCCTAAGAGCTGTAGAACCAGGAAGTCTGCTGTGTGATTGTGTCTTCTATCTATGACGGGGACTTTCCACCCATGAAGTCTCAACAATATGACAGCCTAAACAAGACCTGAATGATTCCAACAACAGTTGACATCCAGTGTAGATGGGGGAACTCTCACCGGAGCGCACTCATTGGCAGTTAACAACTTCTGAGGGAGGGAGAATGAGTCTCCCCCGGGGACAGGTCCTCTCATTGGTTATCCAGTGCCACGTGCTCAGCCTCAGAACATACAGGCAGGCAACACTGAATGGATTTGACTCACAGGTTTTATTTTGTATTTGATTAATTTATATGTATATGGAACAATATTTGAAGAAGAGGGGGTCATGAATTTGGGAGGGAAGGGGGAGATGGCCATGGGAAGAGCAGGAGGGAGGGAAGGAACAAAGAAAGTATATGTTAATTAAATAACAAAATAGACTAAAACAAAAATTGTTCCCTAAACTCTCAGTTTAAAAAGCAAGTATTTTATACTAAGGAATAATAATAATTTTAAAAGAAAAGAAAAATTAGATAAATGGAATATTACCTTAAGCTGGAAAAAACGAGGAATCAATATTATGGAGAGAAAACTTAAATAACACACAGACAGGAGAATATATAACACATAATTATTATTTACATAATTACATAATACATATAATAGAGTACATAAGCGAGCATACTAACAAAAAACAAATGAAACCCCCGCCTTTCATCTGGGTCTGTGCCCAGTGTAAACTGTATTTCATCACTAAGTCACTGAGGGCTGGAGCGATGATTTCACTGAATTTAAGTAGATTGTTTTACTATCAAATACAGTAATGTAAACTCATTCCTTCCTTTTAGTTCTTTTGTAGAGTTTTAATGATTAACACACTTTCAAACCTTCCTGGTTAAGATATACAGTGTTTACTGTGATATTTTGACTGCTTTGGAGATAAAAAAACAAAAAAAAACAAAACAAAACAAAACAAAAAAACCTCCTGCTAAATGTTTCTCAGTGTCTGAACCAGTTTTTTTTGTTTTGTTTTGTTTTTTAATATACCTAGTTCAGGAGATTATATCTGATTAAGTCACTATGTCATGGGGGAAGTTTTACTAAGATTTTTAAATGTCCTGTTTGGGAATTCAAGTGATACAAAATACTTTATTAGGAAGATTATTTTTCAACAGCATTTCCTTTGAGACTAGACTTGAGAGTCCGTTTTCAGTAAGCCAAATAGGTCCCAGACTGAGGACACAAGCGTCAGAGACGCCATTGAGATCAAAGAACACATTTGGTGGAGCTAATGAATATAAGCTGGGTTCTTTGTGAGTTTCTTCTTGGGGACCAAAGGAAGTGCAGAGGCTATTAAGAGTGCCAGGGAGGATGAAGATGTAAGGTTCTGCCCCCCAATCAGAAAAGAGCAGCACCTAAAAGTCAAGTTCAGAGAACCCTGAAGAAGTTTCTATGAGGGCCTGAGAATTGCTGTTAGTCTAACGTTTAGGACCAGGGTGAAGTTTACTTAGGTGGTATTTTCCTAGCAAACCTGGAAAGCAATGTACACGCAAGAGCTTGAAAAACCTTCATCTCAACTAAACCACAAGTTTCTCTGAAAAAGCTGAGTCTGCCTTTTGCCTTTCTGCTCTGGTGGGTTGACGTCTATTAGCCCCCCGCCCCCCAGCTTCTTCTTTAATTCTTTTATCTTTGCTGAGCTAACACAAGGGAAAATGCCCTCCACTAACCTGGACCTAGGTCTCCTTGTCTGCTAGTGTCCCAGTGAGATGACTGGCTGTTAATCTTGCCTGCTGTAGGAAAGTCACTGAAAGTCACCCCAGGATGCATGTGAAAATTTTCTCATCATGTATGGTTTCATTAAAAATTTTGTAAACATGCAGGCAAACAGAACTAAATTACGGATACTAAATGGTTTTGACATTTTTGAAACAAATTCAAAGTAACTGAGGAAGCAATCAAAAATATATTTGCACAACTCAGACATCTCATAGACTCCAAAACTCGGAGATCCAACTGAACCTTGAAAGTATCAAGAATGGTAGAAGCCTCAGGAACCTAGGGAGTCTTCCCCTTAATGTCTCTTCACTTTCCATAAACTTCCTTTTCTCCATAGGAAATCTCTTTACTGCCAAGCCCATAAGGCAAACACAGCTCCTCTTGCTTCTCTAGGGTATTTACATTCTCCTTCCTCTCTGGCTTCCAAGGCTGTTTTCTATTGCAAAAATAGTCCAGGACAAAAGCTGTCATATGGATAGAAATGTCTGGGAGAATTGTCTCTCAATACCTATTTACCTGATGCTCATAAAAGACTTCTAAAAGTTTCTTTTTTTATTTTACTATAATTTTTTTTTTTTTTTTGGTTTTTCGAGACAGGGTTTCTCTGTGTAGCTTTGCGCCTTTCCTGGAACTCACTTGGTAGACCAGGCTGGCCTCGAACTCGCAGAGATCCGCCTATAATTTTAAAAAAGGTTTTTGTTGTTGTTATTGTGGTTGTTGTTTTGTTTTTGT